TAGGGTCTAGAACCGATTAACCGCGATAAACGAGGGTTCACTGTACTAGTATTCGTCCCTAGCAAAATTGCTGCATGCCAGTAACCTCCATCAAGTTTAGAGAGGAGCTTGTCATTACCCAAAGTACTATTATTAGTAAGATAGCAGGAATGAATCAAAGAAGGGGTGTCATAGAGGAGCAACATTAAATCATTTCACTGGAAGTTTTCTAAGTGTTCCCTTTCCACATTAATTGCCCAATTCGGATGATTGTTTAAACCAATATTTTCCAACACCCAAACCAAACACACTGCCATGGAGTCAATCCTGACTCCTAGCGACCCTACAGGTCTTTGGATTTCAAGGGCAAATTCCAAAAAAGTATTTGGCATCTAATGAAAAAAGAAAAGGAATCTTAGCCCAGGTGGAGCCTAAAAAAAAAAAATCTCACGTCTACTAGTCTACTATCACTAGTATCGACTATCTCTTTGTTTTATGAAAGGGAGGATGTTGTAACCACTCAAAAGTAGCAAGGGCATGATCTTGAAATACTGACCATTCATTCAGGAAAAGGGAGTTGGTATCTTTGCACAAACCGCATAGCCCCATTCATGGTCACTTCATTAATGACAAATGGAGACTTGGACTGCCCTTGCTCCCCAGGGAGGTTTGGAGGTATCACTGCATTAGAGAATGGGGAGGGCTGCCTGATGGCCATGTTCAGGCGATGAATAGTGCCCACTGTTGAGAAGAGTGCTCACTACCGGGAGAGTGACCCCTGTCTTTAGAAGCGTGAGGGGTGCCCACTTCTCAAGGCCTGGCCAGAACTCTGCTCTTCACATACAACCTCAGGCACGGAGTGTAAGCCAGATGTGGATGGTTACTCACCAACCTTGCAGCTATTCCTGGCCCATTTCTGGTCTCTTAGTTCTCTTACAGGGTCCCCATGGTTGTCCTTAGTTGCTGCAAAGTCAGATCCTATCCACGAAGGCCCCACGTGTGTCAGAGTGGAGCTGTGCTCCGTAAGGTTTTCAATGGCTGTGACCTTTCGAAGGGTTATTGTCAAGTCTGCCCTCAGAGGCACATCCGGATAGATGTACATGGTAACTTTTCAGTTAGTGGCCAAGCACATTAACTGCTTATACAACCTAAGGACTCTTGCAGGCACTACCTGGGTGACTCAAATGGCCACGCCAAGATCTGTGAATCTTGCATCAAGAAGATGACTAAAAAGAAACCGAAAACCAATGGTCCAGCCAAAAGGTTGGCAGTGAGCCTTTCCTGAAAGGTCGCCGCCAGTGCAAACCCTCTGGAGCACAGCTCTGACACACATGGGGTCACCGTGAGTGGGAATTGACGGGGTTGTGTTTTTTGCCCTCCAGCATCTCCTCCCTGTTAAGACTTACATGTTGCTTTTGGAGGCATGCCCAGTTTGGGTGAGTGAGTGACAACTGAACGGGTTTAGCCCATGTGCTGGAGCTCAGCTTAAGGTCTAACCCTTAAGGTTGACCTCGTTGGCTGGGCACTGCAGTCCTCATCGCCGCTGTCAAAAATAGTTCGCTACTGCCTTGCTGACCTTTTCCAGGACACTCCCTTGCCAAGCGGATCCCAGCTTCTAGCCCCGCAGTGTATGTACATAGCTGTTCCTGTCATGCTAAGTAAACAAATACACACATACTCCCTAACATGAAAACAACGAACAGGTGTGGACAGCAGGTAACAGCATGCTCCAAATGAGAAACCCAATTGGACTTCCCAACAATCTCTAAATGTTCGATAAGGGATGGATTATCACCCTGTGGAGTCTGTTCTCTTGTCAGGCAGGTTGCTGGGCTTATGGAAGAAGGCCTGGTGACCTAGTGGGTTCATCATTGCTAACCACAAGTCAGCAGTTCAAATCGACCAGCCGCTTCTCAGGAGAGAGACGAGGCAATCTGCTCTATTAAGTATTTACAGTCTCAGAAACCCAAAGAGGCCGTTCGAGTCTGTGCTGTAGGGTTGCTATGAGCTGGAATCGGCTCAATGGCAGTGGGTTTGGGTTTGACTTTTAGGGTTTGAGGAATACTTGTTGAGAACTAGTTTGGGTTAAGAATGGGTTTTTAATATATTATAATAAGAATAAAAAAACAAAGATAAATAATACTTAGTAGCTTACCCTGACCACAAGATTATAGTCCTTAAATCCAGCCCAAGTGTAGTATTCTTTTATCCAGGATGAGTGAAGAAATATTTCATCTCCTATAGCAGCATTCAGAATGTTTAAGTATGGTCCAAAGTCCCAGGAATCCTTGTAAATTTTAGTTCCTTCTGGAGGCTCTGTGATGCCCTTGCTTAAGGACACAAGAGAGAGACGGTGGTGAAAAAAGAAAGCTGTGGATAAGGACTCAGAAGGTAAAAATTGTCACCTGCATATTAAATATCAAACATTGACCAGGCTAAAAGCTTTGCATAGCTCAAATGATCTTGCAGGAGTCCCACAGAACTACCACAGGGGTGGGGGATTTGGGGTAAGCTTACATGGAAGCCTTAAGGAGAGCAACTCCTGTTAATTATTTAATATGATGATTTTAAAAGTCAGATCCCTTTGAAGAAAGATGTCCATGGCTGAACAACAAGCATTTGAAAACCACCGATTTGGACCTTGTTGCCCCAAATAAATAAACTTGAACATGTTTATTATCTTCCAATCATATTGACTTTGTGGCTGTCTGTGCATCCTCCCTGCCTGCCCCACCCCCCAAATTAGGATAATAAGTTCTGTAAAACTAGCAACCACAGTTGACCAGAACATTGAAGGGGTTCAATAAATGTTTGTAAAACATATGAATAGCTTTAACCTATTTTTGAGATAGGTTTTTAAAAATAAGACACAAATCCAGAAATTCGTGTTTTCAGCAGGACAGTTCTAATACTGTACTAATCAAACAATTACCAGCAAACAGATGGGCAATTGGAGCCCTTCCAACAATATAGAGAAGACAATTCTACATTATTCCTAGAGCTTGTCCATCCCTTGTGAGGATGTCTCATTGCATGAACACGGGAAGTACAATTCTATGATATTGCAATGCTATGCTATTCCTAGAGCTCATCTATGCTGTGTGAAAAATGTCTCATTGCAGGATGGGGAAACAGATTTAGGTGTCTATATTTATAGGTTTAGTAGTAAGGTAGCAGATGGACATGGGGCTCCACACAAGTACTCCCTCAATGCAAGAATACTTTGTTCTACTGAACTGGCATTCCATCATGCTCACCTTCCCGACACAATTGCTGAAGACAAAGCGGGTGCATAAGAAAATGTGGTGAAGAAAGCTGATGGAGCCTGGCTATCAAAATATATAGTGTCTAGGGTCTTAAAGACTTGAAGGTAATCAAGCAGCCATCTAGTTCAGAAGCAACGAAGCCCACATGGAAGAAGCACATCAGCCTGTTTAATCATGAAGTGCCAAAGGGATCAGTTATCAGGCATCAAAGGACAAAAAAATCATATCACTGTGTGCTCACCTCCCCGATACGATCACTAAAGACAAATAGGTGCATAAGCAAAGGTGGTGAAGAAAGCTGATGGTGCCCGGCTATCAAAAGTTATAGTGTGTGGGGTCTTAAAGGCTTGAAGGTAAACAAGCGGCCATCTAGCTCAAAAGCAACAAAGCCTACATGGAAGAAGCACACCAGCCTGTGTGATCACGAGGTGTCGAAGGGATGAGGTACCAGGCATCAAAGAACAAAAAAATCATACCAATGACGGGGAGTGCATAGTGGGGACACAAAGCCCATCTGTAGGCAACTGACATCCCCTTATGGAAGGGTCGTGAGGAGGAGACGAGCCAGTCAGGGTGCAGGGTAGCAACAATGAAACATACAACTTTCCTCTAGTTCCTAAATACTCTGCCCCCTCCACTATTATGACCCCAATTCTACCTTACAAATCTGGCTAGACCAGAGGATGGTCACTGGTACAGATAGGAACTGGAAACACAGGGAATCCAGGGCGGATGATCCCTTCAGGACCAGTGGTGAGAGTGGCAATACCAGGAGGGTGGGGTAGAAAGGGGGAACCAATAATAGGGATCTACATATAACCTCCTCCCTGGGGGACGGACAACAGAAAAGTGGGTGAAGGGAGACTTCGGACAGTGTAAGATATAACAAAATAATAACATATAAATTATCAAGGGTTCATGAGGGAGGGGGGATAGGGAGGGGGGGAATGAGGAGCTGATGTCAGGGGCTTATGTGGAGAGCAAATGTTTTGAGAATGATGAGGGTACCGAATGCACAAATGTACTTTATACAACGGATGGATGTATGGATTGTGATCAGAGTTGTATGAGCCCCCAATAAAATGATTTTTACAATGTCTCATTGAATGAAACTTAGAAAGTATTGTATTGTGAACCTCAGAGTTGAAAGGAGGTCCGGAGGCTCCTGTCTAGTTAGGATGTGGCATGCACTTGTAGCAGGCTGTCTCCTACTTCCTGAAACAACACCATGGGTCCATTGTGTGCCCACAGCTACGCTTGTGCTGGTTTTTGTAAGAAATTATTTATCAAAACCTACAAGTTGCATCTTCTAAATAGATTTTAAGCCTGCTTCAGCTCTGGCCTCGGTCTTCGTTTAAAAACAAACTCATTCCCCTCAAGTGGATGTCAACTCAAGACAAGCCCATCGGTTACCAAGCAGAACAGCTCCATCATTTTTCCTTCTTCTCTCTAACAGTTACAGAAGCAAGCGACCGGGCCACTTCTGGGTAAGTTCCAACCATTACCCTTTAGGTTAATAAAATCATAACAAAGCGAACCTTTGCTACTTGAGTCTGACTCATTGGGACCCTACAGGACAGAGTCGAACAACCCCATGGTTTCCCCAAGGCTGTGACCCTTAAGGAACCAGACTGCCTCATCCCATGCAGGAGCTAGTGGGTCCGAACTTCCCACCTTTTGGTTCTCAGCTAAGAGCTTAACCACTATGCCATCAGGACTCCTTTTTAGGCTACTAGTCCAACACCGTGTTTGCCATCCTGGGACCTGAACTTAGTCAGGTATCTCATTCATTGTTTCCTGCATAAAGCCACACACAGCCTCACAACTGGCCTCCCTGACTCCCACCTTTCTGCCTATCGTCTCTTCCCCAGGACATTCTGCTCAACGTCACTGGGATCATTTTCTAAAACACAGCTCAGTGATAGATTTTCTTTACAAACCAGTCCAAGCTCCTTGGCCAGGTTTACAGCACCTTTTCAACTGTGGCCCCTACAGGATGTCCCTGCCTTATTGTTTTCCTCTGCCTTCCTTCATGAGTCCTGTACTTATGCCGGTTGACAGTTCTGTCTCCTGTACCTAGTATGATACCTGGTCTACAGAAGGGGCTGAATAAAAACTTTCTGAATGATGTACATTTGGCATTCACCAGAACCACATTTTCTATTAACACTTCTCTTCTATGGAGCTCTGGTGTTGCTATCCGGTAAGTGTTAGACTGCTAACCTCAAGGTTGATGATTCAAACCTACCAGTTGCTATAAGGGAGAAAGATGAGGCTGTCCCATACAAGGTAACTAGGAGTGAGAATTGACTCGAAGTTGGTGGAGAATTGTGTGTGTGTGTGTATGTGTGGTGTTGTTGTTGTTTTGCTTTGTTTTCTTGAGCAAAAGCCAAGAAATTCTCTCTAATTCTTTGTCACCCGATCCTCAGTTCTAAAACCTAGTTCAAATACCAACGATTCCAGATTGTTTTCCTTGATCCCATTGACTGCTTTTTCCTAACCCTTCTTCCCTTCACAAAGCAGTGTTGGGTGTATAGGTGTTGGACTGCTTGCCCAAAGGTAGATGGTTTGAAGCCACCAGCTGCTTAAGGGAGAAAGCTGTGTCAATCTAGTTCCACAAAGATTGACAGTTTTAAGCAGTGAACTAACAGAGAGATCTGTGGGGGGCGGCCCCAACCGCAGCTACGTCAACACCCTCCCCAGAAGAGTACACTACGGAGGACAGCACTGAAGATACAGCCCAGGGAGAGTGGTGGGTCTGCCAGGACCACATGGGAGCAAACTAAGAGGGAAAGAGGGGGCTGCGGATAGAGAACCATGTCCTGGCCCACCAAGCCCCGAGGATGACACTCCTGGAGCAGCCAAAGCACAGAGAGGATTGTAGGGCCAGCCCCACCATGAGACACAATGTCTCCTCACTGACCCACAGTGCTTCAGGGGACAGCATGGAGACACAGTGCAGGAATTGTGCCTGTTCTGACACCCTCCCTCCACCACCACTGCCCCCACACACCAGTGCAACAAGTCTTGCACTTCTTTCATGTACTCAGCCACAAATTTTCCAGCAGGTGGGCCTCCTGTAACACAATAATTTGCATTTCCAGAAGTATTTGCTATACCTACTGTGGTAGCTACATGATCTGTTATCAATTTGAGGCTTAAGAGTGAAGGGATGGTGTTTAGCCTGTCAATCAGGTTGCAGCTTGGTGATCTCATTTGGAGACACTAAGGAGATAAAATAGCTCTTTGGAGGCGCGGCACACACTCACTCCCTGAGAGACTCTCTATTGACAAGATGCATGGAAGTACGCTAGTGCCCTGAGCTGCAGCAGCCACGTGGAGACCCCTGCCAGCGCTGAGATGTTTCCAATGCCATTGGATCCACAAGACTTTCCAACCACTGGCCTGTGATCTTCCTGCATTGAGAGTAATTGCATGTGCTTCATGAGTCTGAAGAGGAATTTATAGATTGATAATGGACATATGGGCTAATATCAGACTTATGGACTTGAACTGGACTGAGCTGAATTGTTCTCTTAATATACAGTTGCTCTTTTATATAAAGCTCTTTCTTATACACATAGGAGTGTCTGAATTTGTTTCTTTAGTCCATCCAGACCAACACATAGAGGTATAAATATAGGCATGTGTATACGTAAATTCATTAATATATAATGATAGGCATGTAGGTCTATGTACACATGTTTAAAAGTATCAAGGTAGCAGACAGACATTGGGCTTCTACTCAAGTACTCTCTCAATGCAAGAATACTTTGTTCTAATAATCTGGAATTATGTGATGCTCACCTTCCTGACATAATCACTGAAGTCCAAATGGGTGCATAAGCAAATCTAGTGAAGAAACTTGATGGTGCCCAGCTATTAAAAGATATAGCGATTGGAGTCTTAAAGGCTTGAAATTAAACAAACGGCCCTCTAGCAGGGAAGCAACAAAGCCCACATGGACGAAGCACACCAGCCTGTGTGCAATCATGAGGTGTCAATGGGATCAGGTACCAGCCGTGAGAAGACCCAAAACAAACAATCATATTGATGCAAATGAGGGGGTTTAGATCCAAAGCCCATCTGTAGATAATTGGACATCCCCTCACAGAAGGGTCACAAGGAAGGGACAAGTGAGCCACGGTGCAGTGTAGTACTGACAAAACACACATTATTCAACATTCCTCTAGTTTTTTAATGCTTCCTTCTCCACCCCACCCCCACTATCTTGACCCCAGTTCTACCTTACAAATCTGGCTAGACCGGAGTATGTACACTGGTACAGATAAGAGTTCTAGACACACAGAATCCAGGACAGATAAACCCCTCAGGAAAATTAATGGGAGTAGCAATACCATGAACATAGGGGGAAGGTGTGGGGAGAAGGGGGAAAAGGAGGCAACCGATTCCAATGATCAACATATAACACACACACCCCAGGGGGACGAACAACGAAATGTGGGTGAAGGCAGACAGCAGATATGAAAATAATAATACTTTATCATTTATCAAGGGGTCCCAAGGGTGGAAGCGTGGGGGAAGGAGGGGAAAAAGAGGAGCTGGTGCCAAGGGCTCAGGTAGAAAAAAATGTTTTGAAAATGATGCTGACAATATATGTACAAATGTGCTTGATACAATTGATGTATGGATTGTTATAAAAGCCGTAAGAGCCCCCAACAAAATGATTTATTTAAAAAAATGGAAATGAACGCTCAGGCTTATTTCCTGTGTGCTTAGCACATTTTGTGTTCAAGCTGTGCTTGTGGCCCTCAACAACGTTTCCCTCATTTGCTACCGTCTCGTGTGGTTCTGAGCCGATGAAGCCATTTGATTGATGTTTACATAGTAAGGAACGCACAGGGAAAAATTCAAAAATTTTCTAGATTTTCTTTGAATCATCTTTGAAGTTCTATTTTAGCAGGTGGCGTGCATCCAAGGATGTCTCCCCAAAGATGTTCATTGAAGTCCTGCACCTGTACCTGCGAACCTGTTTGGAAATAGGATTTTTCTTTTATTATGGTAACGGGGTGATACAAGTTTAAAGGTCTAAACCAAAACCAAACGCACTGCCCTCAGTCAGTTCTAACTCACAGAGACCTTGTAGGAAGAGAAAACCTGCCGTGGTGGGTTTCTGAGGCTGAAAATCTTTGCGGGAGAACAAAGCCTCTTCTGTCTCCTGTGCAGTGGTTGGAGGCTTTGAACTGCTGACCTTCAGGTTAGCAGGCATCTCATAACCCACTATGCCACTAGGAGTCCTCCCAATGTAGGGTGTGCTCTAAACCTAATTGCTTCTGAATTATAAAAGAAACAGAACAGACAGGGAGCATCCATACACACACAATCCAAACCCATTGCATCAAGCGATGCCAACTCGTAGCAACTCACTAGGACAAGGTAGAACTCAGGTAGTTTCTCAGACTATAATATAGACAAGGTAGTTTCTCAGACTATAATTCTTTACAGGAAAGTCCCAAATTTCTCCCCACGGTGGTTTCAAACTGCTGACCTCGTGGTCAGCCGCCTAATACATAACCATTATGCCACCAGGGCTCCCTTATGGTGCCAGGCATTCCAAGGATTGCTGGCAGCTATCCTGCATATGTATCCTGGCACACTACATGTACCAGAAGCTGAAATCGACAAAGAAAGATCTCCCCACTCAAGCCATGACCTGAATAAGGACTTCTGGTTTCCAGAGATACGTTAAAATACATTTCTGTTCTTTAAGCCGCTCGTTTGGATTGGTTCTGTTCTAGCAACATTAGGCAGTACGACAGTATGTTACTCAACAAAATCACAGTATTAGTACAACTTAGGGACTGTGTCATGAGGCAATATGTAAAGTGTGTATTTTCTCATAAGATTGAGAGAGATTCATGAACGCATTTTTATTCTCTGGAAGCATTGAAGGCAAACCTGTCTGTGGGATCCTTTAGCATCCTCCCCAGATCAAGGGTAGCGCCTGGTCGTGGGGTCCACGTCACCACATCAGAAATTTTCTTGATAAGGTTGTTGAGTTCATTTGGATCATTCTTGATATTTGTTTCTTTAATGTACCTGAGAAAGGAGAGCATTTCAACCATGTAAGGGCGTTTATTCTCAGCTGCACAGCCTGCTTCCCACATTGACAGAACTTTCTGTTTCCTCTGTAGTCCTAGTTCTCAATCCCACCCCTTGTACAACAATAGGATCGTAAAGCTCATCCTTGGGTGAGAGCCTATTACTAGGGAAGAATTCTTAGTCGAAGTTGTACTTCTACTTCATTTTAAAGCTTAGTCATGAGGTGGATGGCATTGAAGTTGTATGAACTGAGGCTAATTGGTATACATATGTGGCACCGCAGACACATGTATTGACTATTAATGATTTTAACCAATTTCATCTTTACATATTCAATTTTGCTTGCAAGCTTTATCCTAAGTGCATAACAGGAGTGAAGCAATTTTATCTTGACAGTGTCCTTTGGAGATGGTTGCCTCTATTATGGTTATTTTCTAGAAAAAGAAGGAAGGAATCACTGGGTGCTTAGGGCTCTTGGCTGCTAACTGAAAGGTTCATGGTTCAAGTCCACCTAGAAGCACCTGGGAAGAAAAGTTTAGGTATCTACTTGTGGAAAGTCAGCCATTGAAAGCCCTGTGGGGCACAGCTCGACTCTGATACCCTTGGGGGTAGACATGACTCAGGATCAACCCGATGGCAACTTGCTGTAGAGAAGGAAGCTTTGTGGGGCCCAAAGATTTGCCTGAGTTCACCCCACTAGGAGGCAGTCCAGCCCCGGCTCCAGCTGTCTGCTGTGTAGCTGGGTCAGGGCATCGCTTTCTTGGGAGACCCAAAGGAGAGGGTCTCCCCAAGTTTGCGGGTGACATCTGAAAAGTCCCTCCATTCAGAGCCATTAAAAATCTACCCACATTTTAAAAAGCATTCATGTTCTCAGTTATTACTCATGCCGAGATCTGGGGTCAGGAGAGCAGGGAAGGGGGTCCGACCTCTTTCACCTCATCAGGGAGGGCGAGAAGCATTACCTGCATCACTGATCCAGGGCTAAGTCTATGAGGTGGGGCTCAGCCCTGCCTCCAGCCTCCAACCTTTTTATTCTGAGAGCAGCTGTTGGGACCACAGCGCTCTCTAAGTCTCTGCGGGGTTCATTCATTCATTGCAATGGCCACCAAGATCTCAAAGACCTCTGCTTACTCAGTCAAGTGTTATGAAGGTGTTTGTTTGTTTGTTTGTTTGTTTGTTTTAGATCTACTGATACGTTTTCAGGGGCACTCCATTCCACAACTAAGCCTCAGCCCAAGGGGGCGTGGCCTTCTCAAGTGTGGGCCAGGAAGCCCACTGCCTGATCTCTTGCCAGTCTCCCGGATCTGCAGCTGCTGTTCCTCTGTCGCTTTTTCTTGGCACCTCTTGTCTCAGTGTTCCAGCCTTCTCTATTCCTCTAATCTCTCTCTCCTTCTTCCTCTCCCCTCCTCTCCGTTTGGCCCTCAAATGAAAACAGCATTTAAGGGTGCACAAAGAAAATGCATGGACCTCTGAGCATATAATTGGAAAGCAAGACCTGTAAGTTATATTACTACAAACAGCATCATTTAACTTATCCAAAACATCAGACTTGAATTTCACGATGATACAATTCTATTCTAACCAAAACTCATGTGAAACATAACTAGCAAAAACACAACACAACACAAAACAAAAACATTTGCCCATGAGTTGATTCTGACTCAACACACACACACACACACACACACACACACACACACACACACACACACACACACACACACACACACACACTTCCACAGAGCATGGTGCTCAAAATGAGCCAAATTAGCAAAAAAAACCTCCATTTTGGGTAGCTGCTAAGTGATTGCCCTTCCCTCCCTCCCATCTCAGAAAGCTGACTGCTAGCTGACCTGCCCGTTCTCCCTCCCCTTACGGGAAAGTCTCTGCTGATGATTAATTGTAGAATGTCCTCCCATGTTCCAGGGTTCTGGACATGACAATTCGTTTCACTAGCCTTCAATATATCATCTGTTCCGATTGGTTTTCAATACTGTTCCCTTGGATGTTGTCATCTGAGTGATGTTGTTAGTCTTGTCCAGATCACCAGGATGTGACAATATAATCTTGCTTTGGGAACCAGGATGTGACAATATAATCTTGCTTTGGTAACCAGGATGTGACAGCACATTTTGGTATTGTTTCTTTTATAAGAAATGTACCTTGTACTGCATGCTTACGCTTCTTGAAGTTACAAGCAATTCATTAATTTTGCTTTCTACTTCTTTTCATGCTTGCTTGAACTCTAGACAGGTGATAAATGAGTTTTTTGGCCTTAAAGATGGACCGAGTCCACTCAGGGCTGCAATGAAGGGAAACACTTTAGTTTCTCAGTAGCCCAGCTCGCTGAATAAAGACCCTTCTAAATGTCAAGACATTACAGTGGCTGTCATTTCTTTGAATCCACAACCCATAGGGTTTCCAATGACTTTCAGACAAGTTTCAAGACCTTCCTTCCACAGTGCGGTTGGGTGGGTTTGAACTAGCAACCTTTCAGTTAGTAACAGAAAGCAAACCATTTGAGCTACCCAGGGTCCTAAGCTAGCTTACCAGAAACAATAACAAAACATGTCGATGTCGAGTCAATTTTGACTCATAGTGACCTTTAGGAGGACCATATAGCACGGCCTCCAAGGCTGTGAATCTTTCTGGAAGGAACTCTGGTAGCACAGTGGGTTGTGCATTGGGCTGCAAGATCAGCAGCTCAAAACCACCAGCCACTCTGAGGGAGAAATATACGGCTTTCTACTCCCATAGAGAGTGACAGACTCAGATACCCACAGGGGCAGTTCTACCCTGTCCTGTGGGGTCTCTATGAGGCAGCTTGAACTCAATGGCAGTGAGGTTGGGTTTTTTGGAAACCTGCATAGAAGCACATTTCTACATCTTTCTCCTTTGGAATGACTAGGGGTTTGAACTGCTGACCTGCTGGAAGCAGTCAAGCCATTTAACCACTGTACCACCAGGGCTACTGTGAGCTAGTTTAATCCAATACCAAATCCACTGCCGTCAAGTCCACTTGAACTCCTAGTGATCCTATATACCAGGGACCGATTCTTAAACCCAGTGTGTCCAAAGGGTGCCTTTGGGCAGGTCTGTTGGCTGCTCTGAGTTTCAGATGCCCTACCTGCTCAAAAGCTGTAGTGACACCTCACTCACAGTGTTATGCAGAGGATTGAGCTAGAAGGTAGTTCATTAAATTCCCCCAGTTTGATTCGCAGCATGTGCCTACTGCTTATCTGTTGCCTTCCGCTTCCCTGGGGATCCTTTCAGAGAAAATGTGAATGAACTCTGGCCGCCAACCTTGGCTTTCATTCACGCCCTCTGTTCTCAGGCAGCTTGCTCAGACCAGCCCAGGACTCCACTAACACTCGCTTTCTCCTCTCTCGATGCACACACAGCCGAGTCAGGCGTTCTCGCACACTTTCCCTCATGCGTCAGACTGTGGAACAAAATGGCCGGCCGTACTTGTCTGATGGGTGGGATTCCACGAAATATCCAGCAAAGGGGCAATAAATCCGAGGTTGCAGGTCCTTCACCAGCCGAGCCTTGTAGTTAAGGAGCTTCTTCCTTTCTGTTTTAATGAACTGGGCTTTCCACGCCTCTGAAATGGCAGGGTGTGGGTTAAAGTCTCCTCTGATTGCAGTTATAACAGAGAAACAAATGTTCTGCTCTATTGAACTCTTGGGGCAATAACACTGACAGATTAATGACAGCAGAAATAGAACAGAGCTCCCTGTGTCACCCCTGGACAGTCGTCCCCTGATTTATTTTGCTCCATCCGCTTGGGAAAGAACTACAGCTTTGGAAACCCTCTGGGCAGCTCCCTGCTTCCCTGTGGGGTCACTGTGAGCGATCTTTTGAGGAATTAATCCCAATAGCTTTTGGTTAAAACAATATCTAATATTTTTTGCTTAAAAAACGAATCTCTTTTGGTTAAAAAAAAATAGCCAACAGTTTCCTAGTGGTTCTGGGTGCACACGGATCTGGAACGGCTGCTCTGGCTGATCAGTTGGCTGAGAATTTCTACGTGCTCAGCTCTGCAGTCTGTCCTTCTAAGGGGGAGCCTGCCCATAGCAAGTAAGAGGCCTTTTGCCCTTCTATATGCTGTGAACTTTTGCAGAGAGTCACTGCTGCCAGGGCCACCCACCCCCTACCCCCTTACCCCCTGCCATTCAGTACTACCTGAAACAGTGTCAGTAATTCTGTCAAATGCTAAGACCCAGGATGATCACGACCCAGTGTCTAACAGATGCAAAGCCCCATCCTCAAGTCTGGCTTGGATCCATTGTGAAGGTGATATTATTTTTTAAAAGTTTGATCGACATATGATCCACATCTCAAACAATTAAGTACTTCATCACACTAAAAAGAGTTCTGCAATTCTCGCCACAATTAATTCCAGAACATTTTCTTCTTTCTTGTACTCATCGTTTTAATCCAGTTCCCCCCAGCCTCCCCTGCCATAACCCTAAGGAACTATTAATCCAGTACTATCGCTAAAGTTTTACCTATCTTGGGTTTCTTTTACAGAAAATCGTACAAAACAAAAGGAGAAAGAAAAACAAAACCCCAACACCAATAACAAAATAAAAACCAAGAAAAACCTCAACTGAAAAGAAAACAGAAAATATTAAAAACTGGAACAAATTTAAAATGGTTCAGAAGGGTGGTCAAATGATAAGGTGCTAAATTTTAACCTAACTACATTTGGGATAATCCATTTCCCAATGCACTCTGCATTATAATAAGGCTATTCACATCCCTGGTCTATGGTCAGAGATGACTCACCAGAGGCTTAATCCATGTGGGGACCGTACCAATAGATTTGGTGTTTTCACTGTCACCCATAGGGTACAGGCTATATCTTTGTTCCAGCCTAGCACTTCGTTTTATTTCCCAGTTTATTTTAAAACTCAAGTGGACCTCCTTGGTAAACAAAGCACATTCGGAGGCTTAAAAAATTCATGGAAAAAATGAAAGCTAAAGCTAAGATACTTTTTCTATAAATGTTTTGAACCTCCCTTGCATAGTTAATAAAACTCGGGCTTGGGCCATAACCAAACCAAACTCACTGCCGTTGAGTCTGGCTTAACTCATCTTGACCCTACAGGACACAGTGGAACTGCCCCTGTGGGTTTCCGAGATGAACTCTTTACAGGAGTAGAAAGCCTCGTCTTTCTTCCTCAGAGCACCTGGTGATTTCAAACTGCCGACCTTGCAGCGAGCAGCCCAAGGCATAACCACTAATACACAAGGCAGGGTGTGGAATTTGAGACTATCTGTCTCTTGGTTTTCCCCATAGCCATGGGGTGTTTTTGGTTTTTTTTGTTTTGTTTTCTTTTAATAACTTTCTTTTAAAATAGAAAATGCAAAGACAATAGCTTGCACATAGTGGGAGTTCAATTCTTGGTGCCTATGATTACCAGCCTCCATTCTTTCTTGGATTGTCATGAAGGCATGCAATCAAGACCTGCACGTCTCAAATAATATGTAATAATGCCACAGGGAATCCATGTACGTCTCCTCTTTTAAAACAGCAAGAACAACGGGGGGAGCTGCGAAGGAAGGTGCAGCGTGTCTGGAAAGTGGCAGCTCTGTGCCTGGAGAAAGGCGGTGCTGTTTGGTAATTGGATGGGCCTAGGAGTCTGCCACAGGCCAAGTTGACTCCAGGAAAGTGGTAAGTTTTTATTTTAATATGAGCATTCCATTACGTAGGGCCATCAACCACGGCTACAGTTTCCTAAACCATCCCTGGCGGCCCCGGGGGAGGGATTGGGCTGCCAACCACCAGCAATTCCAAATCCCGAGCTGCTCGGTGGGACAGAGATGAGACGCTGTCCTCCTCTACAGAATCACAGTCTCAGAAACCCACAGCGGCAGGTCCACTCCTCTGTCCAATAGGGTCGCTGAGAATCGGAATGACTCAATGGCAGTGAGTGAGTCGGTTTGCTTAGAAACATTTAAGCCTGGATTCCCTGTTTCACACCTTTCCTAGGCTGCTCTATGGTGCACACCAGTGTTCCTCGAAGTGGGCAGAACAATCTAGAAGGGCTTCAAAAGTAGATATCAACACTTCATCCTGGGTTGTGGGTTATAGTGTAAAACGTGTTCAATTGCCCGGGGTGAAGGAGGTGGATGTCAAGTGATTATTTTTCTTGAAAGGGGGCAGTCCACTAAAGAAGTTTGGGAACTATGGTCAACCCCCTGAGCCCAAATGGTTCCTTCCCTTGACTCCTCCTAAATTTGCCCCTCTTTCCTTCATGTCTCTTCATCGTATGTTGAGCTAATTTTCACTTTATTGCAAACCAGCTTCTAAGTCTCAAGATGGCACAAATACTTTGCCGCTAGCCAGGAACCAAAAGGCTGGCCGGTTGAACCACCCAGTGGCACCAGGGACACAGCCTGGGCAGGCCGTCTGCTTCAGTAAAGATGACAGCTAGGAAAACCTTGCAGGGCAGTTCGAACCTGCAACACAGGGTCCCCTAAGTCACAAGGCAGCCTCCCCCCATAGAGTATAAGCTTCCTGTATGAAGAGACCAGGTTTCTTTATCTTTGTACTCATCCACAGAGTATTTGGCAAAGCGCTAAATCGATCGTGCTGCTCTTTACTCAGACTACCCTGGTGATGGAGTGGTTATACATTGGGATGCTAACCACAGAGTCAGCAGTTCAAAATGCCCCGCTACCTTGAGGGAGAAAGACGAGGCTTTCCATTTCCATGAGGAGTTAGAGTCTTACGAGCCCACAGAGACAGTTGTACCCTGTCCCACAGGATGACGATGAGTCCAAATCAACTCCTTAGCAGTGAGTTAGTTTGCTTTTTTTGAGTTGCCATTTACTATACACCGGTAAACTGTTTTGCCTCCTGGTAATCCTACATGTGTCCGAACAGCAGTGTACTTCATAGGGTTTACATTGACTGAGTTTTTTGCCCTTTCTTCTGTGGTCCCTCTGTGTGGGTTTAAACCTGTACCCTTTGCAGTCCAAGGCATTACCCATTTACACCATCCAGGGCTTCCTTGCTTTATACGATCCATTGCTGTTGAGCTGATTCTGACTCATAGCAACCCTGTAGGACCGAATAATGCTATGTACAGTGTTTCCAAGCTGCACTGTTTGTTGAAGCAGACTGCCACTTCTTTCTCCCAAGGAACAGCCTTTGCGTCCAAGCTGCCAAACTTTCAGAGAAGGGCGTAAGCACTGCTCCCGCAGGTCTGCTTTGATTTTGTATTGCTTCAGTATAAAATCATACCAGAAAACTTTCCACCACTGAAAGTCATTGGGAAACCAGATGCTCCCCCAGCAAAATCACTCATCATTAGAGCAGCTTTTGTAGGCAGCCTTCCCCCATTGGGTCTGGTGCAGTCCACCGTATTGAGTATCTTATGACCTATGGAGAAACAAGAAGGTGTGGGGATGAACTCTCAACTACTGTGGCTTGACTTCCTAAACCGATATGCATTGAAAGGTGTATAGTCTATACAGACTGCAAAGCGTATAACCTGTCATTATGGAAGAGCTCCTTATGTAAAACAGTAAGATACCAAAAAAACAAAGTCTTCAGCAGCAGACAGTCAAGTGGGTAAGTTCATCCTGTTTGACCCAGTGGGTTCCAGGCGTCTCCTGGGGATAGTTGGTTTGGTCTCACTCTACGTCTGTAGACAGACACTGAATTCCTGCCCTCAGACTGCTGCCTGCAAACACTGAACTCAAAGGATTGAGGGGAGTGACTGGGTCCACACAAACCCTTCATCCAACCTTTGGCAAATTCCATGAAGAGCTCAACTGGTTGTTGGGTCAGTAAAGATGCCTCCTTACACAAGAAGTACACATGTATAAAATATTATCATGTAATGTCATAGTCAATAGCGGTATGTTTTAACAAACTACTGTGGGTACAATATGAAATATCTATTGCCTTAACGGCAAAGCTTTGCACCATCACTATATAGATTACACTACTAGTAATAATTTCTCTGTAAAGATGATCTAAACAATAGCCCACTCTTCTAAGGCAAGAATATAATATGCTATCTTCTATGAAAATTCTGGCTAGCTAGTAATATCCCTTTGACCAGCAGTATTTTTCGTTTTTCATTGTTGATGAGGAATTTAAAAATACCTTTGTACTCCACAATAATGCAAGTATCCATCTCTGGATGAACCCCATCCATCAAGATCATGAATCGGAGCTTCTTGTCTACCTGAAATTTAATAGTAAAACCAACAACTGTGTATGGCCGTTTGGCATCTAATTCAAAAAAGGTCCCTCCCTTCCCAAAGGACCAATCTTCAGCCACACCAGAGACAGCCCGATAAGGTGAGCAATGCCAAAAGAGAGGAACTATTCTTTCAAGATAAAGGTCAGAAGGAAGGTAAGGGGACAGATAGAAATGGGGAACCTTGGGAGGAAGCGGGGAGATTGTTTTTACATTGTGGGGATTGCAACTAATGTCACAAAAGAAAATATGTATGAATCATGGAATGGAAAATAATTAGTCTCTGTAGCCTTTCACCCAAACCACACTAAAAACAAATTGAGAGGGAAAATGAAAGACATGATAAATCTCCTGGATAGACTGGTAAGTTAGTAACTTAAAATAACTTTCCTTGGCTCGTTCCTTCCACCAACGAATGGATTAAAAACTCTGGTATACGGGAGGGTGGAGGAAGGGTGGGTTGGAAAGGGGGAACCAATTACAAGGATCTACATATAACCTCCTCCCTGGGGGACGGACAACAGAAAAGTGGGTGAAGGGAGACGTTGGAAAGTGCAAGATATGACAAAATAATAACATAAATTATCAAGGATTCACAGGGGCGGGTGGGGAGGGGGGAAATATGAGGAGCTGATGCCAGGGGCTTAAGTGGAGAGCAAATGTTTTGAGAATGATGAGGGCAATGAATGTGCAAATGCGCTTTACACAATTGATGTATATATGGATTGTGACAAGAGTTGTATGAGCCCCTAATAAACTGATTTTTTAAAAATTAACAGTTGAATAAAAATTAATAAAAATAAATAAGGTGCAATCATAAAAAACAAAACTAAACCTCTGGTAGATACATAAAATGGAGTAATATGCATCCCTAGAAAGCAATGATAAACGCATGAAGCACACGGATGCTTGGGAAGAGTTTGGAGGAGATGATGCTCAGCTAAGTAAGTCAAGCACAGAAGGACAAGTACAAGAGTCCACTGAGGTACGCTTAAAAAGCACAAGGGGTATAGTAGGAAAGCCACCCAATGCATACATCCCCAGGGCGTGGTCCAGGCACTCTGGCTGGGGTCAGATCCGACCCAGGGATGATGGCAGCCAACTGAAAAGGAGGGGGACAGTTGGGGACGGGGGTGAGGATGTGGATAGTGGGGAAACAGGGCAACAACCCACACAGGGGGAGGGTTTTGTTCATGTGCCACAGGAAAGCAAGAAAGAGACCAGACCTCAACCTGGGGCACCAAGCCTCGAGGGCAACATACCAGCATGAAGCAGCAAACAAACAGAAAGGGCTGTGGGCGGACCCCAGTTGACCCCCTCCCCAGAAGACTGCACCATAGAGGACCACTGAAGATACAGCTCAGGGAGAGTGGCACATGAGTTTGGTCTCATGACCACATGGGAGCAAACTAATAGGGAAAGGGAGAGAGAAAGAGGACCACACCCTGGCCCCCCAAGCCTCGAGGATGACATCCCTGCTGGGAGCCACCAATGCACAGAGAGACCGCGGGGCTAGCTCCACCATGAGACACGATGTCCCTCACTGACCCACAGGGCTACAGGGGACAGCACTGGCAACAGAGTGTGGGAAGTGAGCCCTGTTTGACCACCACTCCATACTACACACACACACACACACACACACACACACACACACACACACGAGGCAAAACACGAAGGAAGTGCAACAGAGCAGCAAGGGGAGCAAAGCAATGAAGTACAGAGGAATCCCCCAAACAGACCTGTGAATTGGTGGGCAGCGCATGACACTTCACCAGATTCGATTAGAAAACAATCAGAAGGGTTGGCACACAGACCTAGAACTATTTATAGGCTTTGTCCTTTCTTTCTCTCCCCATTCCCACCCTTTTCGTTTTCATTTTCTTATGTCTAGTCATATTAGATAAGCAGGATAACCATTCCCGAGGAGAAAACAAGAGAGCCGATGACTCCGGGGGGACGTGGGAGATTAGGAGGTGGGAGAAAAAGATGGGGGAGCCAACAAACCCAGGGACAAGGGAATAATAAGAGATCTAAAATCCATGGCGAGGAGGGCATAGAATGGCTGGTGGGGTTTGATCAAGTGCAATGTGGCTGAGAGAGAGTACTGAGAATCGAATGAAGGTCAAACATGACAGTGGGACAGGAGGAAAGTAAAAAGAAATAGAGGAAAGAACTAGGAGGCAAAAGAACATTTATACAGGTATACATATAGGCACATACACAGATGTAAATATATTAATATATAATGACAGATATGGGTCTATGTACATATATTTAAACATTAATTATTAAGGTAGTAGACGGGCAAGTACTCCTCAACGCAAGAGCACTTTGTTCTAATAACCTGGTATTTTGTGATGCTCTCCTTCCTGGCACGATTGCTAAAATCAAAATCGGAGCATAAGCAAATGTGGTGAAGAAAGCTGATAGTGCTCAGCTATTAAAAGATATCGTGTCTGGGGTCTTAAAGCCTTGAAGTTAAACATGCGGCCATCTAGCAAGGAAGCAGCAAAGCCTGCAAGGAAGAACCAGCCTCTGTGACCAGGAGGTATCAATAGGATCAGGTATCAGGCATCAGAAGACCCAAAACAAACAAATATACTGATGCGAGTGGTGGGTGTCAGAGTGGAGACCCAAAGCCTATCTGTAGACAATTGGACATCCCCTCCCAGAAGGGACACAAGAAAAGAATGAGATAGCCATGGTGCAGCATAGCACCAACGGAACACACAACATTCCTCTAGTTCTTTAATGCTTCCTTTCCCCCACTATCATGATCCCAGTTCTAACTTATAAATCCATCTAGACTGGAGCATGTACACTGGAAAAGATAAGAGCTCTAGACACATGGAATATGGACAGATAAACCTTTCAGGAACAGTAATGGGAACAGTGTGATACCATGAGGGTAGGAGGAAGATGGGGGGAAATGGGGGAGAAATGGGAAACTGACTACCATGATTGACTTATAACCCCCCCACTCCCAGGGGGGATGAACAACAGAAGCATGGGAGACAGTGGACGGTGTAAGATATGAAAATAATAATCATTTATCAGGAGTCCACAACTGGGGGAGCGGGGGAGGGAGGAAGGGAAAAAAGAGAAGTTAATATCCAGGGTCCACGCAGAGAGAAAATGTTTTGAAAATGATGATGGCAACATATGTACAAATGTGCTTGATACAATTGATGTATGGATTGTTATAAGAGCCATAGGAGGTGACAATAAAGTGTAAGATATGATAAAATAATAATTTATAAATTATCAAGGGTTCATGAGGGAAGGGGGAGTGGGGAAGGAGGGGAAAAAAAAAAAAGAAAAACGAGGAGCTGATTCCAGGAGCCCAAGCGGAAAGCAAGTGTTTTGAGAATGATGAGGGCAACGAATGTATGTGTGCTTTACACAATTGACGTATGTATGGATTGTGATAAGAGTTGTATGAGCCCCAATAAAATGATTTTAAAAAATGATTCCCAATAAAATAAATGAATAACTTTCCTCATTCATAATTAGATTTATTATCAACCTGACCTCCAATTATACTGCTTTATCATTGTAAAGTAGTAAAGAGAAATGAAAGAGAAAGATCTTTATCAAGGGCAGTTTTGCCCCACCCTCAGAGTTCCAATCAAGGTCGTACTTAAACTGTAACAAATAAAGATGAAACTGGCCGTTGTTTTCTTAATAACCACCTACTACCTTACCTAAAACTCACCTGGGAAAATTTAACTGGAAAATGTGGAAAAAGAGGGGGAAAAGAGGCAGATATCTGACCTGCTGCCACACTCCAAATTGTACAACGTTGATATTCGTCAAGTGGACACCACTCTGACTCAGATTCCAAAAGACGGGTCGTTCTGTGTTTCCAACATAAATGGGAATATCTGGTCTTCTCTTGGCAAGCTTATTCAGAGTGGGGTAACTAGGATCAGAGAGATGGAAACATGGAGGGGGTTTAAAAAAATTAAGAAGGATCATCTAGTACAGGGGTTCTCAACCTTCCTAATGTTGCGCCCCTTTAACACAGTTCCTCATGTTCTGGTGACCCCTTTTGTGGGCATGTCTGCATGTGGGTGGACCCGCCTGGAGACGGGTAGAGAGGAGCAATGTCTCGGTTCCTCAGACCATTGGAAATATGGTCTTAGGCGACCCCTGGGAAAGGGTCGTTCAACCCCCCCAAAGTGGTCGCGACCCCCAAGTTGAGAACCTCTGATCTAGTACGAGATGGTTTGCGAACATGTTAACTGAGAAGTGAGGAACTTTAAAAACAGACTCTCACCAGATCCCACCCTTGAGTTTCTGCTCAAGAGTGCCTGTAGTGGTGAGAGGGGTTTTCTGGAAGATTCTTTTTTAGCATGAGAAGGTTATCATATGTCATTGTGTGTGCATCAACCAAGTGCAAGTTCCATCTTCTACATGGATGCTGTTTTGAGTAGCGGTAGTTCTAACACAAAGTGCCAAGTGGAAAAGCCATGCTGAGAAAGCTGTGGGCTAATGTGGATCCCCATGATCTCCATCTCTTCTTTACCAGCTTCTCTCATAGCCAAAGAATGTGCTTTGTCCATCAGGAGGGTCAGCCAAGTGAGGCAATACATTGTAGAGGGAAATTACATTGAACATTTGTGGTAATCCTGGCTCAGCACACAATCGAGGATTTTTGAATACTAGACCCTAGCTGACTTTCATTCATCAAACATTAATTTATATAAAAGGGCTATATACAGCCGTGGTTAGTGATGGAAAGATGAATAATAAATCAATTTCTCAAAACCGAACTCACTGCCATCAGGTCAATGCCAACTCATAGCAACCCTATAGGACAGGACAGAACGGCCCCTGTGAGTTCCCGAGACTGTAAGTATCTCTTGAAGGAAGTAGAAAGTCCCATCTTGTTCCCTGGGAGCAGCTGGTCGTTTCAAACTACAGTACTGAGGTTGCAGTTAACTGCCCAACCCATAACCACTATGCCACCAGGGTGCGGGGAAAGATCATTTAACAACAATTTACCTTCTCAAAAAATAGTTTAAAAAGCTATGCTCATCGATGAAGAAAGACAAGCAGAAATATACAACTAACATTGATAGCAATTTGATATTCAAATTTGAGTTTTCCGATTCTGAGCCTGGTGTTCCTTGGATTCTAAGTTGTTGTTGTTAAGTGCCATCAAGCCAACTCACACCAATTCATTCAAAGAGGAGACCCTGGGCGGTCCCGTGCCACTCTCACAATTGCTTTTATGTTTGAGCCCATTGTTGTGTCTGTTGTTGTGTTGTGTCAATCCAGCTTGTGGAAGGTCTTCCTCTTTCCACTGACTTTCTACTTGACCAAACATAGGGTGCTTTCCCAGGCACGGGTCTCTTCTGATCACATGCCCAAAGGACAGGAGATGAGTCTTGCCAGCCTCAATCTGGGAGCGGCCTTAGGGAGGAGCAGTCTGGCTCTAGTTCCTGTTTGTTCTTATGGCAGTCCGTGGTACTTTCCATATGCTTTGTCAACACCATCGTTCAAATGCATCAGTTCTTCTCTGGGCGCCCATCGTCATTGTCCCGCTCTCACATGCATATGAGATGATTGGAATTACCACGGCTTACATCAGGTGCACATTAGGTCTCAAGGTGAAACTCTTGCTCTTTAATACTTTAAAGAGGTCTTGTGCGACAGATTTTCCCAATGCAAAACGTTGCGCCATTTCCTGATTACCACGTCGATAAGCATTGATTGTGGCTCCAAGTAAATGGAAATCTTGACAACTTCCATCTTTTCTCCATTCATCATAATGTCTATTGGTCCACTTCTATTACATTGAGTTGTGATCCGTACTGAACACTGCCACCTTCATCAAAGAGGACTTCACGTGTTCTTTGCTTTCCGTGAGCCTAGTTTTCATCTGCATATAACAGGTTGTGATACAGTCAATCTTCTCAGATGGTTTGTTCAGATACAGAATGAATAACTATGATGAAAGGATACAACCTCGATGTTCACCTTTCCTGACGTTAAACCACGCAGAATTCCTTTGTTTTGTCTGCACCACTGCCTCTTGGTCTAAGTATTTCTGCATATGTTCTGGAACTTCCATACTTTGCAAAGTTAGCCATAGTTTGTGGAATGTCTTTCCATAGTCAAAAACACACAGATAAACGTCTTTCTGATAGTCTCTCCTTTTAACCAAGATCCATCTGTAAGTTATTGCTCATATGCTATCTCTTGAAATAATTGGCTGCCTAGCAAATTATAAGACAGTTCTCATTTTTAGTGAAACTTGTCCACAGACTATAATATCAGGTAAAAGCATATCAGAAAAGTTTACACAACATCTGCTTATCCGCACTTAACTGTAATGATAGGTTCCAACAGTGTGTTAAAAGTTGTCCAAAGAGCAGAATCAAGAGAGGGGAGAATTGGAAGGATTCTCTGCCCACCTCCCACCCTTCATCACCAAAATGATGGCTTGAAGGAGTTACATTAAATCACTTTAAAAGGCACCTTTACTAGTTTTTATTTCTTTCGCTGCAGATCATTCGTACCGATGTTTGCTAATAGCATCTTATATGACAGTACTCTAAGTCACAAAGTCACATGTCTTTGAATAAAGACTGTTTAGTAAGGCACTTTGGTCCTTTCTCTGCCCACTGAATCAGGGAGGTTTTATTCTGTAAGCAATGGGCAAAAGAAAGGACATAGGCTCACTGGCAAATAATCCCCATGTTTCATCAGTGAATTAATACAGAGTCAAAGAATAAGGACCTATCAAGGAGAGAGGACCAAAGGAGTGGGAATGAGGAGGCCTGGCAACGGTTTAGCATGAAGTCGTTTATGACATACTTCCCAGCAGTGTGTTGTGCTACTACAGCTGGAAACTGGCAATCTAATGCTTGGTATGCCTCTGTCCACACAAGCCCCTGAATCTGGAACTAAATTCGGTTTTAGGCCAGGGGTTGGTAAATAAACTACATTAAAATGATTTTGCCAGTTGCCCCTAAATAGACTCTGACTCATGGAGACCTTGTATGGGTCCGAATAAAACTGTTCCATAGGTTTTTTAGTGGCCAGGTTTTTGTTTTGTTTTATTTTTTGGTAGTCCACCAGTCCTATGGACTCTTGACTAGTTCCTTCTGGTACAGTGACTCTGTGTACCACCACTCCAGTAGGCAGCCTATGGGCAAGAACTAATGGTGCTGAAAGAAGAGGTCCCAGTTCACTGAATGCATTAGCCAAAAACAAGGCTCCAGGAATTGACGGAATACCCATTGAAATGTTTCAAAAAGCTGAAGAAGCACTGGAAGCCCTCACTCATCTATGCCAGGAAATTTGGAAGACAGCTACCTGGCCAACTGGCTTGAAGAGATCCATATCTGTGCCCATTAAAAAAAAAAAAAAAAAGGGTGACTGAACAGCATGCTAAAGCTGTACAACGATATCATTGAGCTCCAACAATGGTTGCAACAGCACATTGACAGGGAGCTGCCAGAAGTTCAGGCCAGATTCAGAAGAGGACATGAAAGCAGGGATAAAATTGCTGATGTCAGATGGCTGGATCTTGGCTCAAAGCAGAGAATACCAGAAAGATGTTTTCTTGTATTTCATTTACTAGGCAAAGGCATTCGACAGCATGGACCATAACAACTGTAGATAACGTGGAGAAGAGTGGGAATTCCGGAACACTTCATAGTGCTCATTCAGGATTTGTACCTGGATCAAGAGGCATGTGTGGAAGAGAAGGGACGACTGCACAGTTTAAAATTGGGGAAGGTGTGTGTCTGGGCTGTATCTTCTCACCATACCTGTTCTATCTATATGCTGAGCAAATCATCAGAGGACCAGGGTTACATGAAGAGTGTGCAGCATCAGGATTGGAGGAATGCTTGTTAACAACCTGAAGTATGCATATGACACAACTTTGTTTGCTGAAAGTGAGGCTAATTTGAGGTCCTCGCTGATAAAGAACAAAGATTGTAGACTTCAGTACAGATGAAAACCCAGTGTAAGAAAGACCAAAATCCTCACAACTGGACCAATTGGTAACATCATGAAAATGAGAGAAAAGGTTGAAATTATCAAGGATTTTGTATTACTTGGATCCACAATCAATACTCATGGAATTAGCAGTGAAGAGATCAACAACCTTATTGCACTGGCTAGCTCTGTTGCACAAAATATCTTTAGAGTGTTAAAGAGCAAAGATGGTACTTTGAAGAATGAGGTGCACCTCACCTAAGCCATGGTATTCTCTAGTTCAGCGGTTCTCAACCTGTGGGTTGTGACCCCTTTGGGGTTGAATGACCCTTTCACAGAGGTCACCTGATTCATAACAGTAGCAAAATTACAGTTATGAAATAGCAACAAAAATAATTTTATGGTTGGGAGGTCACCACAACATGAGGAACTGTATTAAAGGGCCACAGCATTAGCAAGGTTGAGAACCACTGCTCTATTGCATCATATGCATGTGAAAGTTGGACACTGAAGAAGGAAGAACATAGAATAGATACATTCGAATTGTGCTGCTGGAGAAGAATGTTGAAAGTACCATGGACTGCTAAGAGGACAAACCAGTCTATATTTGAAGAAGTAAGGCCAGAGTGTTCCTCCGAGGCAAGGAAGCAAGACTTCATCTTACATACTTTTGGACATATTATTAGGAGCAACCTGGAGAAGGACATCATGTTTGGTCAAGTGGAGGGGCGGTGAAAAAGAGGAAGACCCACGACTAAATGGATGGAGACCATGACTGCCCATCAATGGGCTCAGGCACAGAAGCAACGGTGAGGATGGCACAGGATTGTGCAGTGTTTCAGTCGGTTGTGCATAGGGTCGACTTGATGGCACCGAAAAACAATGCCAGTCCTGTCTTCGGAGGCTTCTCCGAGTGGACTCAAACGGCCAACCTTTTGGTTAGCGGTTAAGGACATCAACTGTGCCACCCAGAGACTAAAATCCTGAATTCTTTAACATGGAACATCCCTCTGTATTCTCAGAGAATGTCTTTCACTGGAATTTGGGGAAACAGTATCTTATGTTATAAAACAATCACCACACTTAGATGCTATTTTTACCACCCCCACCCCCAAGTACCAACTATGAAGCTCTGGTGCGTAGTTCATTCCTCATTGGGCTGCCAACTGCAAAGTAAGTCATTTGAAACCACTAGCTATTCTGTGAGGGAAAGAAAACAAAGGCTTTCTACTCCTGTACAGAGTTACAGCCTAGGAAACCCATGGTGGCAGCTTACTTGTCTCCCAGGGACAGTATAGTAGGAACCGACTCAATGGCCATGAGTTTGGCTCTTTTTGGTTACATAAGCCCGTGAAGAATTGTCACCGCACATTACTGCTGCTGCACAATGCATAGACCTGGGGCTCGTATACTCCTGAAATTGTCCAAACTTGGTTCAAAATTTTTTGTGGGACAAAAAGATAGCATAACCAGCAAGGAATTTGTGATTTGATCGCCACAGTATAGTCGCAGGCTGTGATGTATAAAGAGGTGTGTTACAGATAATTCATCGCTAAAATAGCTTGTTATTCATGTGTAAACTACTTCCTTTAAAAAGCCACTTACGACATATTCATACTTCAGAAGTCCCATATGCTAGGAGTCAGTTGGCCAGGAAACGACATCTTATCTTGGACCTTTCTATCAAAGGAGGAACTTTGATAGAACTTTGATATGAACTTTGCTTGTCAGGGAGCTCACAGAAAACGAAAAAGCTGAACTAACGTAATTAGAACACTGTGGCCATTGCTGTGTGTTTATATTGACAATCAAAACAAGAACGAAAGAATATGACCCTGTAATTAAGCAGAAGAACAGGGAACATGATTCCCCCCCACTTCCAGTAGCCCAGTGTGTTTACAAATATGCTTGGTCTTTAAGTGAAAGTTGTTCTTTCTGCCTTCCTGGCATGTCATTTTGCTGTGGTTTCAATCATCTTTGGAGGAGGCAAACGTGCAGTGAAAACGTTGGGAGTTTAGTGTTCTTGTTAGTTGCCATGCTCAAATGGATTCTGACTTTTGGCAACACAGTTTCCAGATGTGTGATGTTTTGGGAGCAGATCACCAGATAAGTCTTCCGATGCACCTCTGGGTAGGATTGAACCAATCCATTTTTCAGTGCATGGTCAAGTGCTTAGCCGCTTGTGCCACTCAGTGCCCAGCTCAGTGTTGAGATACTGGACGCCAGGAGATGGCCAACTGCAACTCTTGGGCCATAACTGACCTGCTGCCATGTAACCTGCAAGCTGAATGGCTTTAACCTTATTCCATTGCTGCCCAAAGAACCCAGAGGAGAAGAGTGCTTTGTGATGTGTGAAAAGTATATAGTATAAAAAAAAAGAAATAAAATGATATAATACCCAAATTTAATTGTCTCGCCATCATGCTCATTCACTTGAACAGTGGCACAGGACAGGGTAGTGTGCCATCTGGTGTATATATAAGGAGACAACTCAGCAGGATCTAATTACAATAATGGCTACTCTTGTGCTTCAAGGGCAGAGTTGGTGCGTTGAAGCACCGAGGGTAAGTCTTGAATAGCTTAAGAACACTACAGTGAACCCTCGGCAGTTCGCGCTTCGACTTCCGCGGCTTCACTCTATCGTGGTTTTGGCGTAACCGCGCATGCGCTGTCATGACTGCCACTGATTGACTCATACTGTACACGCTTGATGCCACAAATAATATAATAAATAATAAATGATCATTGTAACGTCCAAAATGTTTTACTGTATTTCCCCTTTTTCATTTAATAAATTGGGTAATACGAGTGTCATGGTGACTAAAGGGTGTTTTTTCATGTCCTCTATGCTCTAACTACGAAAATATTTGATTTACAAATAAGGAATCCTACTTCGCGGAATTTCATTTATCACGGTAGGGTCTAGAACCAATGAACCGCGATAAACGAGGGTTCACTGTATAATAAAAAATGAACAAACTCATCACCATCCAGTCAGTTCTGACTAACCAAGACCCTATAGGACAGACTAGAATTGCCCCTGTTGGTTTCCAAGACTACGTATCTTTACAGGAGTAGAAAGCCTCATCTTTCAACTCTATGAGGGACGCTCTAAAAGGGAAAACCCGCTATGTCTTTCCTGGAGCCGACTCGTAAGACGTGTTTACCTCAGGTGGTCCGAGTGCATATGACTGATGTAAATTAAGTCGGCTTGGCAAAGCCTCTCCAGCCAATCAGAGGGAGGCTCATGGAGTAACCACCATCCTCGGGCGAAAGCAGGACCAATTAACCAAGGGTCAAACACCATCCTCTTGTCTCCCAATTTGAGGTCCATGCAGGCGTGAGTGAGGTATGTCACCTGTTGGAAGAACGTGCAATTCATACTCCTAAATCATTACTGGCTGGCAACAATGAACTGGTTCATTAAAAAATCACACTGGAGAACTTGGCTCCTCAGCAGAGTCAGGCAAAAACACAGGACTCAAGTAGAAGTCAGCAGATTCTACTTGAGGCTTGATGTGGTGCCCAACGCCAAGCACAGCCAAACCCTGGCTTGCCATGGAGCCGGTTCCAACTGCTGCAAACCCCTGGTTGTAAGAGTAGACCGGGCTACCATAAGGGCTTCAACATGTGTGATCTTTTCAAAGTCGATCACCAGGCCTCTCTTCCAAGGTACCTCAGAGTGGACTTGAACCTCCACCCTTTCCGTTAGCAGCTGAGCACTTAAACCCTTTGTACCACCAGGAGTCCTTCAGTATCAAGCCAATAGGTTACCTATTTTTGCTCTCCAGCACCTGCCTGTACTGTGGTGGCTTGCATCTTGTTGTGATGCTGGATGTTGTATCACAGGTAGTTCAGATATGAGCAGAGGTATCCGTGGAAATTTTCAGCAGAGCTGCTACACTAAGACAGACTAGGAAGAAAGCCCTGATTTCTAAAAATTATCCAAGGAAGGCCCTATGGGTCACACCAGAATATTGGATAAGGTAGGGCCGGAAGAAGGGCAGCCTGCATTGGAAAGCACTCACAATACACAATGGCTATGGCACCGGGCTCACACATATCAATGACCATGAGGCTGGCAATGTTTCCACCTGTCGTACAGGCAACCGCCCTGAGTCACAGCGTACTCGGTGACCACTAACAAGCTCTACCCTATTAAAGTAGCTCCTAAATACTTATCTACAGTTAGCACTGCTGAATAACCCTTCTGGTGATGTCCTACTTCATAGGCAAAGCTAGTAGATGTGTTAGGACAGGCACTAGGGCATTTAAATGCCAGCGTGGGTCTGAATAAGAACGTGGGTGAATGACTCTGTGAGTTTGGGTAGCTTGGCAGAGGGGACTGGCAACTGGCTCAATATACTAGGAAGGCTTTCTCTTCCAAATCTCCTCCTAAACCACCCTTTCGGGATGTCATGGTCCTCTGAGAATGACTGCAAACAATGGCTTTGAGACAAGAACAGGCTTGGAGATTCCTCACTCCCTTTCCATGGCCTGACACATCCCTGGGGAAAGGAAAACCATCAGGGAGCAGAGACAAGGTCATAGAAACTCTAGTGTGGAGAGCCAAAATAGTGCGTGGGGAGAGGTCAAAGACCCATGCACGTCTTATACTATTCCCATTCCTGGTACAAAAGCCCCTGGGTGCTGCTAATGATTGAGCATTCAACTAGGGGCCCAAAGGTGGGGAATTCAAACCCACCCACCTTAAAAGGAAGGCCTGGCGATCTGCTTCCAAAAGACCACTGTCTTGAAATCCTGCTGAACACAGCCCGACCCTGAAACATATGCCATTGCCGGAAGCAGGCTCCACAACTGACCGCGGGCATGTTTGTTTACTGTTGCTGCTGTAGTTTAATTCTAGGGACAATCCCACTTGTTGCCTCAAAAAACCTTGCTATTTTCATAAGCTTGTGAAACATCAAGAAAAAATGAAGCTCTGCTGGTTTATATCTCCCAGATTACTGCAGGATTTTGGTGGAGGAACACGTTTGACGAAGTCAAGAGAACACACCAGAAGGGTTATAGAAGAGTTCAGAGGCAGTATGCATACAGGAAGGGACAAGTGGCCATGCTGTCTGACCAGAACTGCCATTAAGAGTAACTTCTGAACTTCCTTTATGTGCATAGCTTGCTTTTGGGAGTTTCCACCAAATTTTCTTTCTGACTATACTGTATATCCTTGCAATTCTTGCCAAATTCTGTTCAAGAGACTGATTTTATTATATGTTCTTACTAGCTTGTCAGATCAAAGAGTACTCACAAAATTTTACTCACTGCCATCAAACAGGTTCCAATGAAGATCAGCCCTATTGGACAGGGTGTAACTACTGTGGAAGATTTCTGAAACAGTAAATCTTCGAGGGAGCAGAAAGCCTTATATTTCTCCCATGGCACCACTGGTAGATTTGAACCATTAAACGCTGGGTGAGCAGTCCATTGCTTACCCCACTGAGCCATGAGGGCTCCTTCAGAGTCATATAAGGTGTATAGACATCTATAGCAATAATAAATAGACATCCTAGTTTTATTTGGAAGGATATTTTCATTCTAATATTTCCTTACCTGTACTTCTCCAAAAGCCAAATCTTCAATAGTTCTGGGGTCTGAATCCCAGGGGTTAGGAGGATTCAGTTCTAGCAATGTAAGTCCATTTTTTTCATCCATTTCAACAACTAGAAGCAAAGGGGCACAAATCTGGATTAACAACAACAAAAATCAAATTTTAGAAGCATCACTGCAATAGACGTGCGGGATCCAGATACACAAGAGTGCCCAAATCAAAGGAATACCGAAACAGAAAGCAACGTTTCTTGGGCCAAGCAATACCTGCTGAGATGATGTCAGGCCAACACCAATTCATTTCCTTGTTCAAATTTCACTCCAGACCTCATGAGATCCCAATCATAGCAAGGACACAGACACATACAACTTGACTACAATTCAATTAACCCTATAGAGATGAATTAAGATGGCTTAGTGGGTGATGTGTTGGGCTGCTAACCACAAGGTCAGTGGTTCAAAATCATCAGCTGTTCTGAGGGAGAGAGATACACAGAGGTTGTGAATGGACTTCGGGCCTCAACTCATACCCTCACTCAATACAAGAACACGTTGTTCTTAAAAAATGGCATTTTGAGTTGCTCACCCTCCCACCACAATTGCTGAAGACAAAATGGGTGCATAAGGAAATGTAGTGAAGAAAGCAGATGGTGCCTGGCTATTAAAAGATATAATGTCTGGGGTCTTAAAGGCTTGAAGTGAAACAAATGGCCATCCAGCAGTGAACCAACAAGCCCACATGGAAGAAGCACACCAGCGGTGTGATCATGAGGTATCATGGGGACTGGATAACAGGCATCAGAAGACCCATAACAAGCAAACAAACAAAAACATATTGTTGAGAATGAGGGTTGCCAGAGCAGAGACCCAAAGCCCACCTGTAGACAATAGAACATCCCCCCAGAGCAGGATGGCAGGAACGGGATGAGTCAACCAGGGTACAGTAAAACACCAATGGAACACACAATATCCCTCTAGTTCCTTGAGGCTTCCTCGTGTCCCCCCCCATCATGACCCCAGTACTGCTTCTTACTCTGGACTAGACTGGAGCATGTACGCAGGTATAGATAAGAGATGAAAGCTCACACATACAGAATCCAGGAACAGGAATGGGAATATTGAAACCAGAATGGTAGGGGGGAGGGGGGAAGAGGAGAGGAGGAAGGGGGAACCAATCGCAATGATTGACACATAAACTGCACACAGCCCTCCTGGGGGAAGAACAACAGAAACCATGGAGCAAGGGAGACAGCCGTTTGTGTGAGATATGAAAATAATAATTTATATCTATGAAGGGGTCATGAGGGTGGTGGGGAGTTGGAGGGGGAAAAAGGAGGAGATGATGCCAAGGGCTCAATAGAAAGTAAATGTCTAGAAAAGAATGATGGCAATATATGTACAAATATGTGGGGGGGGTGGGAAGGGCCAGCCCCCCACTACTAATCACAGGTCCGGTAGGTGCAATTGTACAGTTGAGATATATATATATTATAATAAAGTCATAGAAAGTATGAAAGATAAAAGAGAGACTGAAATAAAGGAGTCAGACACATTTCATGGTAGCATGCTCTCCTCAGCCCTGCTTGGTGGTCCACGTGGAGAGAGGGGGAGGGGAAGGAGGACAAGGGGAAAGGGAACAGGGGAGCGAGGATGGGGGAGAGGAAGGGGAAGCCAACCAGAGACCAAGAGGGGGGAAGTCCGAGAGGGCTCTTTATTGCTAACCAAGGCCTATATACCTTCAGGGGGCCATGCAAGTCCCCTAATTACAGGTAAAGACATACCTCATAGGAAGGGGTTGCACTATAGGTTTTACAGCAATGAGAGGGGGGCAATCTAGGGACATACACACAATAGGAACAAGAGGGATTGGGGGTACACATGTGACAAGATGGGCAGATCCTAGATTCAGGATGGCAGCCTAACTTGGGACTTCTGGTTTGACCTGTTCTCTGGATCTCCATAGAAACCATTATCAGTAGGGTGTAAACCCCACCTACAGGAATCAAGCTAATGGTCACAAGCCTTTAGGGAGAAGTAGCCTATTGTCCTTAACAGAGGGAGCAGGCCCTACCTTGGTGGGACCAGACAGTAGTCTGGCAACTGACTGCCTTTAGGGAGGCTGTCTCTAAGCATCTGGCCTCCCACCATATGCTGGCAAAAAGCCCCTAATGTTTGGCTTGTCTTTGTGGGAGACAAAACTGGGGGGAAATCTCTTTATAATCCCACAAATAAGCCTGATACAGTTGACATATGAAATGTTTGGGAGTTGTAAGAGCCCCCAATAAAATTATTTTTATTAAAAAAAGAAAAGAAAAAAATTTTATTAGCATCTTGGAACTCATGGGGGCAGTTCTACTCTGTCCTATGGGATTGCTAAGAGTTGTCGTCAACTGGATAACAGTGACTTGACTTTATAGATACATCATGAGGAGGGATCAATAATTAGAGGAAGATATCAGATTTGGTGAAGTAAAGTGCCTACCAGGGCATGGGAGATGCTTTGGGAGCTGAAGGAACACAGCAATGAACTTGAACATGCTGGTGATCATGGGGATGAGGCAGCAGGGACAGCATTTTGTTTCTGTCGTCCATGCAGTCACCATGAGTTAGAGTCAACTTGGAACAACTAAGGTATGGAGGAATGCACTTGGTCCATTTCCAAGGGTCAAGAAAGATTTCAAATAGAATCTAACCATTGAACTAGACATGACAGATGAGTGATTTGGAGGCAGACGAAAGAAACATGACCTTGTAAGGTAAATAGAATCAAAGCACAGCCTGTGTAAAGGGGTGGAGACAATGGAGAGTTGATTGGCACACAAACAAAGCCAAACTTTTCAGAAAGCAAAGCTATGGCATCTGTATTTCACAGGTTGTTAAGAAGTCTTCTTCCAGTCCTGATGCCACATTCTTCTTATTGTACAACGTCTCAAATTATTTATTCAGCATAGGAATTGAATCCGTATGGTGCAAGGATACAGGTCTGACCCACCCTTTCTGGATTAAGCCATAGAGCATTTATTTGTTCTATGCAAGAGTGCCTCTTGCTCTGTGTACCGGTTCCAAATGAGCACATGAAGTGTTCTGGAATTCCCATTCTTCTTTTCTTTTATTTATTATTATTTTTAATCATTTAATAGGGGGCTCGTACAACTCTTATCACAATCCATACATCCATGTTAGTCACAGTTTGTTATGATCCACACCGTCAAATGCCTCTGCAAAGTCAATAAACACAAGGAAACATCTCTGGTACATTCGGTTTCCATCCAAGATCCACTTGACATCAGCAATGATATCTCTGGGTTCACATCCTCCACATGCTCATATATAAATTCAAATTGACGGGGGAGAAAATTAAAACGAATCCATGAAAGCCTACTGCAACCTGGAGCACCTCGTCTCAAAGCAACCTTGTATAGCGTTCCCAAGACTGCAAATCTTAAGGGAGTAGACAACCTCATCTTTTCCCTGCAGAACTGCTTTGAACTGCCAGCCTTGCAGTTAGCAGCATTCTTCGGTGTACACACAAAAGATTTAAAAGCCAAACCACAAACAGACATTTGTACACCAGTAGTCATAACAGCCCAAAGACGGGAATAACCTAGGTGGCATCAACAGATGAATGGGTAAGAAAAATGCGAGTGCATATTTTAAATGGACAACTCATTCATAAAGAGAAAAGAAGTTCTGATACATGTTTTGTTGAGCTATATGAAGCTTGAAAATATTGTGCTAATTAAAATAAGTCCGAAACAGAAGGATAAACTAGATGTGACCTCCTCCCTGGGGGACGGACAACCGAAAAGTGGGTGAAGGGAGATGTCGGACAGGGCAAGATATGACAAGATAATAATTTATAAATTATCAA